TCCACCAGTTGTCCCTTTAACAGTCCGGTTTCCATTGCCCATCTACCCAACCACATGGCTGGGCCACTGGCTGCAGCCTGTGCATCAGTGAAGACCCAAACCTGGGGACTTTTACCATTGCTCAATTCTCCCATCGCTGCTAGGGAGACAGCCTGCAGTTCACTGAGCTGATTTATTCTTGCCTCCTTCAGTCAGTCTTGCCATCCGCTGTTCTTAATGTGGCTACTTTCCAAAGAGGATATTATCCATTTGTCTTGGAACTGCCATCTGTAAAGCAGGCAGCACTGGTTGCTCAGTTAGAGCTGCTCACAGGGCACGTCCACGTGGCAGTCGGTTCCGGCATTTCCTCGGGCGGCTCTAAAGTCGGTCGTGGAGGAGAGGCTGCCTGCTTACACTAGGGCGGGCGCCTGCATTCCCCGGCAGGCTGCTCCCGTGTGAACCGTTTCCGTTTTATTATGGAACTCTGCTGGGCACTGCCTTCCTTAGTGGAGTGCTGCCCCGACATCACCCAGGATACTATGGGTATGTCAGCTCATGATTATTTTATGTCCTTCTCAATGCCCAGTAGCAGGCTGCTAATTGTCTCTCAGGTGGTGTGCACTGGGAGGCAGCATCTGGGAATTTTCTGGTGTGAAATCCCAGTCATCACTGCTGGGAGGTGCTCATGGGTTTGCCATAAGCTCTTGCTGCAAAGTGCAGGTAGAAGACACCCCCAAAATCGTATCTTTGTGGGTCATAAAGCCACAAAGGCATTGGCAGAGCCTCTCCCTTCTGCTAATTTGGACTCGGTCTGCTCTTGTTCAGGTCCCCACACAGTATAGCTTTCTTTTGGGTAATGATGTAGATGGGAGCTAGCATTGTTCCCAGATGTGGACTTTGCATCCTCCAGACACCAGATAAACCAGCCAAATGCTGGGCTGCTGCTGCTTTGGACCGAGGGGTGGGTTGCAGCAGCAGTTTAATTTTAGTCTCCTGTGGAATATTCTGTGTGGCTTCAGCAGATTATTCCTAAGAATTTTTCTGTTTGGGCAGGCCCTGGGACCTTAACGGGATTTATCAACCAGCCCTGGTTGGTTGTGTGTGTTGTCACTGCATTCAGATTAGTCCTATCTTAATTATCACAACATTGTAAACTGACTCTACTTCAATTTAAAAAACCCAAAAAAACAAATTAGTTGTGTCTTGCTCTTCAGTTTCTGATATCATCATAATGTCATCAAGACCTGCATCAAGTCCGAATCCCTTCGGACCACATTATGATAGTCAGCCAGTGAGTTCAGATAACCCCGTGGTGGCAGAGTAAGAGTGAACTGGGATCCTTCCCACGTGAAGGCAGACTGCTGCTGACTCTTCTCTGAGATGGAGACGGAGAAGAAAGCAGATGCGAGGTCAGCCCCTGAGTTCCGCCTCCGTCAGCCTGCAGAGTCGTCTGTGTGCTTGACGTCGTGCGGGGAACTGCTCAGGCCGTGGGTGGCACAACTTTATCTAAGCCTCCGTAGTCTACGGTTAGTCCACACGAGCCGTCCGCCTTTCTCCCAGGCCACACGCGGCTGTCATATAGCGAATTCGTGGGTACCAGCACTCCAGCTTCTAGCACACCATTAGCTAAAGCAGTGAGCTC